GGAGAAGAGTATTGAATGTACCCTGGCTTGCCAAGAAAACAGATTCATCCTGGAGAGGGTTAAACCAGGCTCCTCCTTGGAGGCAAGGATTCTGGGGCTTCGTCTGACATACTTTGGGCATGTTGTAAGGAGAGACAGGTCCTTGGAGAGGGACATCATGCTTGGTAGGGTAGAGGGACAGCGTAGGAGGGGAAGACCCTCTATGAGTTGGACTGATTCAGTGATTGGGGTAATCGGGATGGGTGTGTCAGAGGCAATGCGATTGGCACAGGATAGAGCAGGGTTTAGGGCTATTGTACATAGGGTCGCTATGAATCACAAATGACTCGATGGCACATAACAACAACAGTTTATTTATTGCTTTCCCTGTTTGACATTTGATTGTTTAAATGGCTTAGTGTACTGCAAACAACAGCGTTATGGACGTTGTTATTATTTGCACATGAGCAGGAATTTCTACAGTACATATTCTTTGAAATGGAATTACCAAGTTATAGTTCATTCAACTTTATTGAGTAACATCTGATTAATTATTTCCTGCTTAACACAAAATTTCTAGGATTATTAGAGTTAGCAAATAAGACACAGGACACTCAACTAAATTTAAATTTCAGGTAAACAACAAATAATATTTATTATAAGTATGCTCCATGGAAAAACATAATTTCCTCTGTCAATCCTAAAATGATCAATGAACTTTGCCAATCCATGAACTCTGAAAAGAACGAGTGTGAAGAGGTTGTGGGGCACTTGATCTTGTTTTCTTCTGCAAGACTGGCCAACCCAGGTGTTTATCACCTTAGCTCTGAATAAATTTGCTAACCAGCTGTGTAGATGACCAACTCAACAAATGTGTTTTCAGCACCAACTGTATGTCAGGCAGGGGTTAGATGTTGGGAATTACAACTGTAAAGTTCACACACACAGTCCTTGCCCTTCATAGGATTTTAGCCTAGGGAGGAATAAGACAGAAAGCAACACAGACAGGCAGTGATACATGCATTATAAAATCAGTACTGGTGAATGCCTAATAACTACTTCTGGAGGGAAGAGGAAGCCCTGGTTTGTGGCTTTTGTATTGTTGTTGTTTGATGTTGCAACTCACATATAACAGATTTGTTTAATTTGTAGAGCAGTAAGTACTCTTCCCTTGGGCAATTTCAAGCAACCAATGTGACATTACTGAACGTGGAGTTGGAAAGAGCTGTACCAAATCTGCCCTCAAGGTTGGATAAGACCTCCAGTTATCCCCTGAACGGGAATAATCAGGAGGACACTTATGCAGACTATGGACTTATTTCTTTTAGGTTTGGGGAAAAGGAACTTAGGCAGCTTAAAATATTACTTCATCAAATTTAAACGGTGTGAAATGTTGGGAAGAATGAAATATTATATCTAGATTATGTTACAATGGCATATAGATTGACAAAAGTCTAGCAAATGTAGTTGTAAAATATACTCACCTTACAAATCAGGGCTCAGAGCTCTCTTTTTAACTATGGGACTCTGGACCCCTCTCCTGCATTAATTTCTCACCTGTACCCCACCACTCATTGATTAATTGCTTAGAGAATGCACTGTACTAGAAGGTAGAGTCCTTGTCTTCATGAAGAGCTCAATCTACCAAAATACTCTAACAAGTGCTGCCTTTTGCTTTCTAGAAAGACTTGCTTCTTTCTCCTTCCACTAGTTCAGTTCACTCCTCTGTTCTCATGTTGATTTTTCATCTGAGAATATTTCTCTAAAAAAGTGTGCCCAAGATCCCCTTCCAACTGTTCACCCCACCCAATCTCTTGAGATGTCTTCCCCCATGGATTTACAAGCATCCTCTTCTGTCTGAATCTGGACTCTTTTGACTTCCCTGTGTCTTTTCCCATCAAAGTAGCAGTAGGAATTCCAACTGTCTGTTATTTTTCTTTTTTAAAAAAAGTCTGCATACTAGCTAATGTGCAGGCCTCTACCATGTAAATGTTTTCATCTATTTGAAATGTTTTTGTGCCTAGTTGCTGTCATTTGTTCTGACTTATGGCCTCAGGCAGAGTAGATCTGCACTGCAGGGTTTTCACGGCTGTGGGTTTTCAACAGTAGATCACCAGATCTATTTTCCAAGACACCTAAGAGTGGATTCAAATCACCAACCTTCCTGCTTGTAGTCTGGTGCTTGATTATTTGTGTCACTTAAGGAATCTTAGTTGACATAACTATTTATACAATGGTGTATTTGTACAATTGTGTCCAGAGGCCACTTGCATGCTTAAATGACTTTAAAAGTATTTACTGAGCTTTTCTGAATACAAAAAGAAAGACATGTTTAATTGTTGAAATTTTGGAACAAATAAAACTGACAACAATTATGTAAGCTAACAACTCAATGTTACCAAAAACCAAATCCAACCCACCTCCAGTGAGTTCGTTTTGACTCACAGCCACCCTCCATGGTGATTGGTGGGTCCCAGCCACCAGCCTTTATTTTAGTAACTAAATAATTGAAGAACTACATCACTGTTGATTTTGCAGAGAGGTGAATCATAGCAATTTTTTTAAAAATCAAAAATACCTTTATTAGAGTCTTAAATAAACACTGTTTACTTTCCCCCCCAAGACAACCATGATTAACTTACAAAAATTGACATTTCCAATGCATCTTCAAAGCATTTCCCTTTAACAAGAAACAGGGATCTTAAGAATAAAGTTTTGAGATTTTTTTTAAAAAAAAATCCATTTTGTTGTTATTATGAAAACAGACGGTAACATAAATCAAGAAAATCCACACATACTTCAGGTTCTTCTCCTCCAGGAACCAGCACTGTTATATTATTTCCTTTTAACAAAATCTGATCTAATTTAGTAATCCTTCCTTCTGGTGTTATTTCAAAAGTCATCAAAATCTAGAAGCATCCCAACAATTTTCTTATTATTCCTCATCACAATGTGAATTCTTAATCTGATGCACTTGTCCACAACCTCTAGTGGCAGCAGCTGTGATGGGTTTTTGTATATTAGCTGCCATAACTACTCTGGAAATGGTTGTTCTTAGTAATTTTAAATACACACTTAATAGACAAATCAGATTATATCTATTTCTGGTGTCAGAGTTAATTAAGTATTGAGCTGCCAATGGAAAGATTGAGAGTTTGACTCCACTAGCATCTCAGGAGGAGGAAGGTGAGGCATTCCACTCCCCTAAAGATTTCTTTACAGCCTTGGAAACAATACAGGGCAGTTCTACTTTGTTACATAGGGTCTCTATCACTCAGAACTGACTCTGTGGCAATGAGTTTGGTTTTTTGGTTATAACATGGAAAATCCATCATCTTTTTGAGTATTCTTTGAATACATGATTTTAAATGGTGGCATGGCATTCCATTTTCAGTCTATACCATGGTTTAATTAGCTATGGCTTCAGGGACTGCTTTAGTATAGTAACTGTTGAACTGTTGACCAAAAGGTTGGCAGTTTCAACCCACCAGCTGCTCTGAGGGGAAAAAGATCTTCTCCCATTAAGATTACAACATCAGGAAACCTGATGGTCAAGGTCTACTAGAAGGCGGTGCATTTGGTTTGGTTTAACTTAAAAGGAGCCCTGAAATTAAAAAAAAAAAAAAAGGAGCCCTGATGGCAGAGTGGTTAAAGTGACTGGCTGCTAAAAAAAAAAAAAAAAAGGTTGTGGTTCAAACCCATTCTCTGTAGAATGATGTGCTCATTTGCTTCCACAAAGATTTGCAGCTTTGTGCTTGCTTAGGTAGCATGTATATGAAAATTAGAAGAATACAGGGAAGATTAGCATGGCCATTGTGTAAGGATGACATGCAAGTTTGTTATATATTCTATATTTTTTGGTCCTGGGCCCCAGGACCATAATCTCAGGGGCATCCAGGTCAACTGGCATAAAAAAGTATACAAAGACAATGTTCTATATCCTACTAGTAACTGGGATCTTAAAAGCTGGTAGGTATCCAGCTAAGCTGCAATTATTGGTCTCTATCCAGAACAAAGAGGAAAGGAAAGCCAAGGTGTACTAAAGCAATTTGTCCAAAGGACTAACGAACTATGTGAACCTCAATTTCCATAACCCTGAAAACAGAACTGATAACTGGCTATCACTACTGACTACAAGGGGTCATCCTGCACAGAGTAAAATGAGGAACAAAACTCAAAATTATAAAAATGACCAGGCTTTTGGCCTGATCGAAACTGGTGGAACTTCTAGGACTAATATATTAAATTACCCTTGGAGCCTGGAATTTAAAGCAACTCTATGGCTATTTTTAGCCAAACAATACAGAGGGCTATAACTTGAACAATAGTACTCAAGCTTTAGAACAATTAACTAAACAAGATCAAAGGGCAGTGGTAGCCCAGGGACAAAGTTCAGAAGGCAGGAAGAAAGGAAACCAGAATCATTGATGTGCGAAGGAAGACTGCCGGTACAATGTGGGTATTATAATGCCATAAAGCAAAACATATAAGAATGGAAAACCAATTTACTAAAACCATAATAAACTACTTAAAAATAATTTACAACATTGTTGGGGGGATTGTAAATGGTACAACCACTCTGAAAGCAGTTTGGCGCTTCCTCAAAAAGTTGAACATAGATATTCCACATTACCCAGCTATTCCACTGCTTGAAACATACCCTGAGAAAATGAGAAGAAAATGAGAACTGAGAAACAAACGGACACTTACACACCACCGTTCATAACAGCATTAGTCACCATCACAAGAACATGGAAACTGCCCTGATGTCCAACGCACAAATGGATTGAGAAGCTATGGTACATTCATACAATGAAATAAAACTCAGCACGCAGGAGTAACAATTTTGTAAATTATTACCTAACTTGGGAGGGACTGGAGAGCATCATGCTGAGTTAATTCAGACCCATAAGGACAAATACTGTATAAAACCATTATTGTAGGTCTCTCGCTGCAGCAACAGGAGTGGGAGCGCCGCCAGGGCATCAGCTGGACGGGGACCCGCGGATTGTTTCACGAAAATGGCAGACAAGCCTGACATGGGGGAAATCGCCAGCTTCGATAAGGCCAAGCTGAAGAAGACCGAGACGCAGGAGAATACCCTGCCGACCAAAGAGACCATCGAGCAAGAGAAGCGAAGTGAGATGTCCTGGGATCCTGCAGTGGTCTCCGCCCTCGTCATGTGCGACACCCTAGTCGTGATGTGGAGGAAGAGCCACCTGCAGGATGGGCACGAGCGACGAGCTGCACTGTGAACCCGGGCACGCCGCGCCCTGCCACCGGCCTGCGGGTCTCTGAAGGGACCACCAAAGTCTCCAGTTTGCCCTGGGCTATTCTAGAAAATTATTTGTATGATTAATGAAAATAAAACCCACCTCATGGCAACCCCCCCCCCACATTATTGTAGAATGAGCATAAGGATGGGGTGGGGGGAATTAATCCTGGGGTCACACAATTTGATCGGTGGGGAGAGTTAGGGAAATGGGAAGGAATTTGTGTGAGAAACAATGTATTTGAATTTTGTAAAAAACTAGTATTAAAAAAAATCATTTACAGCCTTGAAGCCTTATGGAGCAGTTCTATGCTGCCTTCTTATAGGATCACTATGAGTTAAGTGTAGTTTACTTTTAACTACAGATAGCAAACATTGACCCTTTAATTAACCTTACTAGACAGCACTGACAAAAATATCTTTATAGTGTAAACCTGTGGTGTGAGCGGATCTGAGGCAGCATATGTTCCAAAGCCAGGTGTCACCAAGTGGTACTCTGTATTTCTCATCCCCTGCCCTGGTCTCTGCTTTCTCCTGGGACTTATTAGTGTGAAATCCCCTCTTGTTTGCTAGCCATTCCTCAGATAAGCCTGCTGGGGTCTGGGCAGCCTGGGGTAGCTGTTTGGGTATCCTGGTGGGTGTGTATGGGAAGCAGGGCCCTGAAGTCCCAAGCACATGTGGAGACCAGGGTCAATAGGTGGGTTGCTCATGGCCAGAGGACACCAGGGTTTAGGGGTGGTCGCTAGTCCTGCTCACTTCAGTGTATGTCTAGAGTCCTGGTAGTGCCATTCCCCCACATCCAAATCTCCCCAACTCATGCTGCTCAGTCTGGTCTGGAGTTGCACTTTTGATGCCATAAAGATTTATGTTAAGAGAGTATATTTACCTACAACCAGGAGAAGATAACATAGATGAATGGGATCTTCTAAGACTCAAATCCCTATGCACATCCAAAAACTTCTCCAGTAGGGTAAAAAGGGAAGC